AGCGAGCTCGTGGCGTAATGGTTAAAGCGTTGGACTTCTAATTAACAAAGTCATGGATCGGAAACATGAGCGGGACACCAATTTCTAGGGCAAAATTTGACTAACTGACGATGGCTAATAAGCCAGCACTGGCCGTCCTACTCTCCCTTGTCTTTTATGGTAATGTCCTTCTACAGTTTAATGTCTTCTTCCAAATGTGCACATTAAACGTCTCCCCAGGGATATCGTGTAGAAACAAGTAAAACGGTAACTTTATGCATATTCTCGCTGGAAAATCATCACATTAACGAACAGAAAACACGTTTGTGTCATAAGTATATCGCTTGGGTGCATCACATTTTTATATCTAGAATCAGTGACAACTAAATTGATCCATGGTGTAACCAGCTACGTTTGTGAAATCAGTTTGAAGAGTAATTTAATTTATGTGTTTGTTCTATCGCTTTGTCGGAAAACGACAAAGATTGAAAGCCACTGAGTACGCTCACGGGTAATTTACCCACTTCCAGCCACTACCGTACCGTATAATGACAAATGGCCCCGTCGGCTTAATTACCCACGATTGTTCGAAGAACCATCAGTTGAAGAATGCAACTCAAACTCAGATACTGCTTGTTCTTTCCGCTCAACTGCACCTACACCGCATCATTGCGCACTTCAGTAATTTCTACGTACACTAATTTGACTGCTTTTTGATACTTTTGCACGCACGCAACTTTATGGGACTTTGACAATTCCGCTAAAAAATAACCGTATTTCTCAAATCTGCATGAAAATCGTCTGTTAGTAAAACTGAAAATTGAACCCAAAAAGAGTAATGGGAGCCCTTCCAAGATTGCGTAATCCTTGACTGAAACCTATTTGTTCACCTCTCATGAATTATTATAAAAGAAGCGGCGAGTACCCCCTTTAAAATAACAATGCAAAGTAACATGCTGTGGCAGCAAGAGAGGAGAGACAATTCGTTAGTCTAGAATGTTATTTGAAGATAAATTGAAGCACGGTTTAATCTCTTCAGAGGCCTTTCAACTTTATTGTCTGCTTCGCATCTGCTCCAGCTTTTGATGAAATTAAATCGCCCACATGTCCGTATAGAGCAGTTCCCTGTTAATTTAATTTTATTCCCAATTGGGAATACTCTGCCTCATGTTTGAGGCAGTCCGATTGTCTGATGAAAATATAAACAGAGAATAATCCCCCAAAGATTAGAGACACTCCTGCCGGCTTAGTGGCTGGCAGCAGCCAATGGGAATCCAGCTGCCTTTTTGAAAAGCGTAATGTTTGAACCCGGTCAGGAAATAGACAATCGAGAATCCAAATTAAAAAAATTGTTCCACTTGCGAAAAAGAGTTCACTCTGGGTTGACTAAGATTGGGCTTACTGACTACAAGAATGTATTTCCATTTTTACTTTAGGTACTACCGCTGCGGCGAGCAGTCGTTGGGAGAAAGGTTTTAGCCCTGAAGAGAGCGAAAGTTATATTTATTACACCGGGTTGCTCGACTTGAGCTGCCTCACATAAACACACGATTTGCATTTAGCGGTCAGAATAGCTCTGGGAATATCACTTTTATGTGGCTTGGGACATAGGATCCTTTGATTTTGGCCGACCCCGCCTTGAAACGCATATTCGCTTTTTTCGATCTTTAGCTAGGAATTACTGGGATTAATGCCGCAGTCCAACATACAGTTAGCAGCTCGGGAAAAGGAGCACTAGAAGCGAATTCTGAAGAGTCTCAGTAACTGGAGTCCACCATAAGGTACTTATTTTCTGGCTGAATGCGTTTTCTGAGGCAGAAAACCCGTGCTTGTTATTATCCAGAATATCCATTATGAGATCAACTGTGACTATCCGCTTGAATATTTCAAGATTTGACTGTGATCAGACATTTCATTGCTGTGATTAAACATGACATTTTGAACAGAATCCACTCAACAATTTTTGCCAAATACAGAGCAGTTCTAAAAGCAAAAAATGATTTAGATAACATCTTTGCTGATTCTTTTGAATATTAACCCACTGAATGGATAATTTGATGGGTTCTACGTGGTTTCAGTATTGTTAAAAGTGTAATTATTATCGAGTCACGCTGGCGGCGATGAATAAGTTTATGATGCTGCCCTCGCAGTTAAAATCTCTAATATACTACTGAATGTGCTGTTTGCGGTGGGCGGGGCTAGTAGTGCGTCCAGTTTAGGCAACAGTACTGCAGCTGTTTCTAACTTCCTCTCTGAAAGAGGGTAAGACATATCTAAAACTAGCCGTTTTTGTTGAAATAATAGGAGCATTTACTGTTTTACA